GTTTGGGGGTGAATCCTACTTAGTAACGCTACCGCGTTACTAATAGGATCTTTCACCTGATTTTAGAGTACCGTACAAGATGATTTATTGGTGAAGAATTAATATTGGCTATTGGTGGTTTTATGAAGAAATCGCCAATGTAAAATCCGCCATTTTGTTTTAATCTGAGCATGCTCAATGGCACGTGGTACAAAATCACCAATATAAAATCCACCAATTTTTTTCCAGAGGCAAATTCACCAAATATCACTCTCACCAATAAATCATCTTGTACGGTAGCTTTATCAATTTTGATCAGAATTATCTCTGAATTTCTACACAATAAGTACACGTACATACAAAATTGTAATAAAAATGTTTTTCTAGTAATTTCATAAAATAATACCGTTCAGTAAGGATTGGTGTCTATTTTTAGAACTAAGGATAATTTCACTTTTAAATGTCATCGCTCTGTGGTAACTACAGCTGGACAGACTCAAGACATTTTCGCTGTAAGTAATCGATCCTACTCCTCTTACTCCTCCTCTCTCCTTCCCTCCCTCCCCTCAGGTAAACGATATAGCATTTCACCCTACTCATGGGACTCTGGCTACAGTTGGCTCGGATGGTAGATATTATTTCTGGGACAAAGACGCTAGGACAAAATTGAAAGTAAGTAACTAGATTATTTGCAAAAATCTTCACGATGCTGTATCATATAAGTGGTTTATTTGAGGGAATTATATTTTGCAAAATCTACTAAATTTTCAATTCATAGGTTTTAATTTTGTGAATTCTAACACACGCTGTATTAAATTGATTTTAGCGGATTTATTTTTCATGATTCAATCCACGAAATCTGTGAAATTTGCAACCCTTGAAAAAACCTATACGGCATCAATAATATTCCTTTCTTTCTCTCCCTCTCCCTCTCTCTCTCTCTCTCTCTCTCTCTCTCTCTCTCTCTCTTTCTATTAGCATTCTGAAGCTATGGATCAGCCAATAACGTCTTGTTGTTTCAATCACAGTGGACTTGTATTTGCATACGCTGTTAGTTATGACTGGTCGAAGGTTTGTAAGGACAAAGAGACTCTTTATGGATTCATTATTATTCTATTTTTAGGGCCACGAGCACTATAATCCCGCCAAAAAGAATTACATATTTTTGCGTCAGGCAAACGAAGATTTAAGACCTCGTACCAAAAAACGTTAAGACATTAGCAAGTGGGAGTGCTAGATACTAAATTGTAGTCATTATTATTATTATTATTTGTTCTCTTGTGTTTTTTTGGGAGTGACACGATTGTATTAGGCATTATCCCATTCTTGGCATTATGAAGGAAAAATAGTTTTAAACAAAAAAAAGAAAAAAATTGAGAAGGTTCGATCGGGGTTCGAACCCGAGACCTTCTGCGTGTAAAGCAGACGTGATAACCACTACACCACCGAACCTTCCATATGATCCGTAGCTGATAGCTGAATTATTATATATAAACTGGCATAAAAGCGCAAATAAAAAAGGAATTAAAAAAATTTAAAGTAGCAGAATTATTATAAACTGGCATAAAACAGCATATAAAAAGGGAATTAAAAAAATTTAAAGTAGCAGAATTATTATAAACTAACATAAAACAGCATATAAAAAGGGGATTAAAATTTAAGTTTATAAAAGTGAAAAAAGTGAACTATAAAAGTGAACTTTTATTTTCTGGCTGGCTTTATTTCCTGGCCAGCAACAAAAACTTTAATAATATTGCGATCATCACCTATGAATATGATGTTAAAAATAATGGCATTATCATTGTCTTCTTACCAAGGTAAACAAACTTGCTCAGTATATCCTAAAAATAATTTAATATTAAATAAGAAAAGTATTAGTACTAAATACCTCAAAAGTGTCAGAAGGAAATACATCAAATACTGGCAACTTTTTACTATCAGAAACATGAGCTGCTGTATCTATGAGCAAAGCATCAAATTCTTTTCCAACCTTTTTAAAGAAAACATAACATTTTATTTAATAATGATAGTTTATACTTCAAAATTTCCAATTTTGTCTTGTAAGTTGAGTACTAAAAATAGAATTTAAAATTTTGTGCTATTAACAATAGCAGCTGCAAACCTTTAGCTCCACCAATGGTAGCCATGTACAATGCTTCATCAAGAGTCAGTTGTTCATATTCCTTTCCTTCTTTTTCAAATTTTATGTGGAGAGCACGTGAGGCTTGCAATGCATGTCTTATGGCATCAAGCATTGATGATGAAAATCCACCAGACACATCTAGTAATACACAATCAAATCAATACTCATGCAATGTCAGTACTGATCAATATCAGTATCAATCTTTCATGCTAGCTAACCAGTTCCCAATCCAATTTTTAAGTCTCTTCCCAGTCTGTCACGTGCATCCATTAATCCACTCTTTAAACTATATAAACATGACATTGTCATCACTATGATATATTTATAGTATACTTGCCAGAAATTTGAGTTAGGACAGTGTGCAATGCCAACTTTCCTTTCTTCCATGAGCTTCAATTCCTCTTCTTTCAAGTGTATGCAATGGGCCATGTAGGTCTATAAGAAATTCATGCAATCTTTAAAATTTTTCGCAATTCTTATTTGTAATTGTGACATCATAATTTTAGTATTATACTATACTTTTTCATTGAGTAGCCCCATTTTGTCGAACACTTGTGTGCAATTTTGATGTGAAGGGTATTGATCTGAAGGGTAAAAGTTCATTGTGTAACCTACTTCACCAAGCTGTTCACACAAGTGACTCTACGTATTGCAATAAGAAATTATAAATGACCTAAAGTTTTTGATTTGATTACTTGTATTTTAAGTCCTTTCTTCTTTGCCAGCTCTGCTAGTTGTTTTAGTAGCTCATCTGTGCAAGTTGGTAGAAATCTCGGAGTTATGACAGCCTCAACTAGTGGATTCTAAGTACATTCAGTCTATTATAAAATAATTATAATTAAGTTCATTACTTTCATTCCTTCGACAAACTCAATAAATTTTTTAGTGTCAACTATAGAGCTACTAGTAGTTTCAATGTAATTATCAGGTGATTCCCTGTCCATATTCACTTTACCGACCAAAGCTCTTTGACCACATTGAGCTGAAAACATAATGTTAATTATACATAAGTGTATTTTGTACATTATGTAATGTGCATGTGTATAGTATACCTATAATTTTGCACAACTCAATGGCAGACTCAACATGAATAGTCGCAAAGTAGCTAGCTGTAGTTGTACCATTATTAATGGTCCGTTTCTATAATATATTATAATACTTGCATTATAAATATGACGTGTATCAGGCTTACTACAACACTTTGGTACACTTCAGAAGCAAGTTGAACATCAGAAAATTTTGCTTCAGTTGGAAAAGTGTATTTATCCAACCAGTCCAGTAACTGCAGGTCATATCCAGTACCAGTAAATTTATACTGCGGAGCATGTATGTGAGTATCAACAAGTCCAGGCATAAGGAATTGACTGCAAGTGCAAAAAGAGATTAAGTTGCATAGACCTATCTATATACTAGGCAACATTTCGCTAGCTAGCAACTTTTGTGGTTGCTGTGACTTGTACTCGACTTGTTCCAAAATAGAAGGATTACTATTCTTAGATACAAGATCAAAGTAACCACAAAACACACAGAAGTTGCTAGCAACATATTGCCTAGTGTATTACCTAGTTTCCAGGTGATGTATGTCCCTCTCCTCAAAGCCAAATTGCTTCATTAGTGCATCTTTCTTGGCTCCTTCATCAACAAACAATATCTATTATGATAAGAATCTGATATTACTGCAGTAGATAGTTATGAGGCATTCAATGTAGCCAAGATCTGACTGTATCTACCTGTCCATTGCTGTTAATGCCAATCAGTCCATCCTCTACTACAGTAACTGATTTCACTTCCAAGCAATGGACTATTCTTCCACGAAACACTTTGAGAGAAAGTTTGCTCATCACTAACACTGTAACTATCAAAAAGATTGACCTAACAGCACTGCAGGCTATGTGTAGGTGTAGGCTGTACTTATACATAACAGGATGTTGGCTTATTACATAATATTTATGAATGAAATTAAAAATAGCATTTTTAAGGGATAAAAGAAACATAAACTGTTTATATATCTATACTATCATGCACACTTATTATTATAGGATTATTTACAGCGGTTCAGCATATGGCATTTCATGGTACTACATTCCATCTTTTTGATCTCTCCTCTTCCCCTGGATATTTATTCTTCATCTTTTCTTCAGCCTATCATAATGCCGGGTAATATAAAAAATACTAATACTATAGCTACCATTTCTGTGAACTGATCTTTACAAGCTAGTCTTATTCTCTCAGCAGTTGCAGGAGCCCAAAGGTCAAACACAGGATGATGACCTCTGCTGATTCTTGCTGATCTTATGGCATCCTTTATTGCAAAGAAAACTGACCCAGCTAAAAACAATGGAGGCTCACCAACAGCCTGTGAATTAATGCAAACATGCAATATAACACTAAATGACTATATACTTTAGAATTAAAGATAGCTCTTGGGTTAGGAGTAGAGTCCATGAGAGTTACATTAAGTTCAATGGGTATATCATTGCATGAGGGGATCTTGTATGCTCCTGGTCCAGTAGTAAATAGTTTGCCATTCTTTAGGTATACAACCTCTTCCATAGTAAATAGACCAAGTCCCTGTGTAAATGCACCCTCAACTTGTCCTATGTCAATAGCTGGATTTAAACTGTCACCAACATCCATTAACAAATCACTTCTTAGCACCTATTCATATACAGCAAATTTGCATAAACATACCTTATACATAAATAATTAATTGTTACTTTGAAGTCTCCAGTAAGAGTGTCAATCTCAACTTCAGTGCAACCAACACCATAGCAGTAATAATTGTATGGTTGGCCCTTCCCTGTCTCCCAGTTCATTCCTTCAAGATCAGTGGCATAGAATCCTTGAGCTGAAAGATTAACACGATCAACATAAGCAGATATAACCTGCAGACATTAAGAAAGTACATGTGCATGAAATGTTTTGATACAATGCTACATCATACCCAGTTTTTCCAGCCAGCTTCTGGCTTCTTCTCCTTGTATGGTTGTAATCTTTCTTTAATTTGTTCACAAGCATCCTATAATGTAATATTAATATGATATGATTCATAATCAATAATTGACACAATGCTACAATGTTATAAAGGATTCATTTCAGAACTAAACATTGTATCATTTGCTAGAGTAGCAATGTGCATTGTATGAAAATGATGACTATAACATATTCCACAAAGTGATGAATAAGATATTCAATTACAGTACCTAAATTACTAATCACTCACACTCTTGATTATACCTTAACAGCCATGCCGTAAAGATCAGAAGAAGCCGAGGCTGCAGTTGGACTGTTGTTTGGCACTTTATCAGTGGAGCAATCAATGAGGTGTATCATATCAATAGGAATATCAAGAACACGTGAGCAAACTTGAATCATCTTAGTATGAAGACCCTAATATATGCGAAGCAGTAATATATATATATAAGTAAAAAGATGTTTCTTATACTGTACCTGTCCCATTTCCATTCCTCCATGACTGAGAAGTACTGAACCATCTTTGTATACAAGGACCAATGCTCCTCCTTGATTTAACAATTTCAGTCCAAAAGCAATACCATACTTGGTAGGCACGATAGCCATACCTCTCTTCACCCACTCATTTTGACTGTGATCATAAGAAAATTATTAAAAGTCCTCATAAATTTCATTAAGTACCTGTTGAACTCTTTGATTGCCTCCATTCTTTGGTAATACTGTGATTCCTCAAGGAGCTTCTTCCATGCTTTTCTCATGTGACAATCAGTCAAAGTGTAACCATATACAGTCTCATCTCCTTCCTTTACTAAATTAATCTCTCGTACCTATAAACCAGCAATAAACTATGTACAATAATTAATAGGCTTACAATAACTGGGTCCATTTTCAGTGTATAAGCTATCCTGTCCATTGCATCTTCCATCATCATCATTCCTTGTGGGCCACCAAATCCACGGAATGCAGTGTTGGATGGGAGATTAGTCTTGCACAGTTGCCCATTGATAAAAGCATTTGGTACAGTATAAGCATTAGTAGCATGAGTAACTGCTCTCTCTAATACCTGCATGCAGTAAATGATACAATAAAATTTAATGCATCAAAAAGTAACACACTGGTAGAGATAAATCAAAAGAGTAGCCTGCATTAGAATACAGTTCCATTTCCAGGGCAGTCAGTTTTCCTTCCTTTGTGAAGCCTATTCTGTATTCTCCTTTGTATGGGTGCCTGTTACCAGAATATTTCATATCTTCATCTCTGTCAAGCATTATTCTTACAGGCCTGCCAACTCTAAAAGTAATAAATGAATGAAAATTTTACTTTTCTATTATTGTAATACTTGTTAGCAGCTACTGCAATGGTTGTAGTTAGAGGAGAAAATCTTGTCTCTTTTCCACCAAATCCTCCACCTAAAATCATACAAATAATAATAACTTACTATTATTATTATATGTACCAATTCTTTTGACTTTAGCTACAATTCTATTAGCAGGAACTCCCAAAGCTTTAGCTGCCCAATGCTGTGTCTCAGAAGTACATTGTGTAGTTGCTATTATCTCTATCTCTCCATTCTCCCTCTTTGGTATAGCAATACAGACATTGGTTTCAAGGTAAAAGTGTTCTTGTCCTCCAGTTCTCATTGAACCTTCAATAGTGTATTCTGCCTCTGACATTGCTTTTTTAACATCTCCAGTTGATAGTTCATGCTTTGATATGTCATAGTATTGCTCCTTCTCTATAGCATCCTATAAAAATACTAACAGTAAAACAATGATCCGTTAATACTGCATTACCTCAATGGTTAATACTGCTTCCAGTGGTGTATAATTAACATCGACTTTTTTAACATATTTCTGTGCTTCTTCTTTATTCTTTGCCAATACAATACCAATTATTTGACCAATACTGGTAACTGTCTTTTCTCTAAACACTTCTTCATCTCCAAAAACACCAGTATCATCATTATGACCAGGTACATCTTGGGCACATACAAAATAAACATCATCCTTATAGAAAACAAAAAATTACTTAATGCAAATGATTTTGATATTTCCCTTACAATATCTTTAATTTGACTGGTATCAATAGTAAACTCTGCATGAGGCTCTTTACTGAGCACCAGCCCTGCATATAACTCGTTGTCATAGTGTGGAAGGTCATCAGTGTAAACTGCCTCTCCTGTCGCTTGTATTATTGCTGATAGATGCATCTCTGGTTGTCCAATTTTGTTATTTCCTGAGTTAGGTAACTTCTTGAATCCTTGTGAGCCTCTTGAAACTGGCTTTGAAAACGGCTTTAAAGTAAAGGAAGTTTCAAACACATAAATTTCAATTTATATTAATACTTGAGTTGCTGAAGCTTTAGTTGGTGTTATTGACTGAGGATCATACTGTTGTAGTACAAACAAATAAAACTTGTAAAAGAATGACAGTGCAAGGCTAAGACGATAGTCAGGCATACCACCAGGTACCTCAGGAGGCAACACTAACTCATCAGCTAAACTCTCCAATGCACACTGGAGCAGTTCTCCATCCCATTTTCTACAAATATATGAATAAATTATTATTATGAATCTACGCAAAGAGTTCAATTCAGAGTATTGATGTATAATACCCATGCAATAATCATACCTCCCTATTAGTTCTTTTTGTGTCTTAGTTGCCATTATAGTCTTGAAAGACATTCCACCATAAGCTAGCCTGCAATCCCTCACTTTCAGGTCATCATCCAAACTAACAAAGAAGCATGAATTAACAATGGCAATGTCATCCTCTCTCCTTCTTGACTGCTTGAAAGACATAACATGTTCTCCCTGCATTGAGGTTATGCTTTTAGTGCAAACAAAAATACACTTAGTACCTTCTTTGTTAGTGGAATTTTAACTGATTTAAGGATTTCATTTTCTTTCATGGTCGTAGTACGATACCCAGTAAAGAAATCTTCTTCATTCATTTTCAAAATTCGCTCACCTTCTACACAAAAAAATGAAGAGGCTCTTAGTTATGTATTTACTTATTGATGCAAAGTTTAATGTAGCTCCACTTGCTAAAAGAACAGGATTCAAATCAGATATTGGGCTAGCATTTGCAATATTGCCACCAAAAGACTACAAATATAATAAAAAATAACAATGCATGATTCCCTACTGAAACTCACTGAAACATTCCTTAGCTGAGGTCCTGCAAACCACTTGAGCATGTTCAATAAAGCCTGCAGTACTCCAGTAGTGTGAGGTGGTTGTGTAGTAAGGAGATTGGTGATGTAGTCTTTAAGATCAGTGAGTGTTACTGATGCTCCTACCACTAGTCCTTCTTCTTCTAATGTCAATTCCAAGAGCTCTGGCACATGAGAAGGACATATCAATACATCATACTTGAAGCCTTTGAGGCGCCTTTCTATCTCTACAAAGACATGAAGTTAAAACAACATGGCTAATCCACAGACTATTAACAGTATCAACAATAGATAAGAACTATAATAATTTTAGTGTTCCTTACCAATTTCAGTGTTACCCATTACGAGCCTGTATTTTGGTTTGTCGCTGTCCCTGTAATGTGGAAACTTGTCCCTCAGTTCAAGAAGTTCCTTCAATGATACTGGCCTGTACCATGACACATCATTAAATTTAATTTCAAGAGACAGTGGCGGCCTATTCTCAGCCTACCATAGTAAGTTAGTAACTATAATACAAGAGCAAACCTTGTTTTTATATGTACCTTTAGTCCAGGTGGAAATATAATCTCCTGGCTTGGATCATAAGGCTTAAATTTCGTGGCATCAAACAACTTGTGATCAGCTTCTTTGCTTTTCCCTCCTTCCTTTCCATCTCCTTTGCACTTGCAGTCAGAGCAAAAGGTCCTATACCCATCCAGTATAGGCCTGTATCCAGTACACCTGCAGAGATTCCCTTCAAAAGCATGCTCCATTTCCTCCTGTGTTGGTGATGGATTGTTCCTAAGTAGCGTATACATTGACATTACAAAACCTGGTGTACAAAAACCACACTGAGAACCATGAGCCTTTGCTATCCTCTCCTAATAATGAATATAATTTTAGTTGCTAGGATTATATATAGTATTATAGTAATCCTTACTTGACATGGGTGCAGATTTTTAGAATTTCCGATCCCTTCAACTGTAATAACAGACAGACCATCCATTGAACAGAGAGGAGCTAGACAAGCATTAACAGTGTAATGCCTATGATAAATGCATTTTTAAGGACAGAGTAAATATTGGTTGACAGCAAGTCATGCTAATACCAAACTAATTCACACTTATTTGCACACTACAAGCTAGCACATACACTTGCTTAAAATTTATGTAATAGCTTGTAATGATCTAATGCATACTTGATAGTGTCCTTTGACCCGTCATATTTTGATACCATTACAGTACAAGCTCCACAGCCTCCTTCTCCACAGCCCAACTTTGTACCAGTTAGACCAAAAGTAACTACTGCTTCATCTTTACAACAGCCAGATTTTGTATCAACAGTAGCTTTCAATTTTACTAAAAATACATAATGATATTGAAATGAATCATAACGATGCTACTATATTTATGGTCATACAATAGCGTCTCAGATATGTTAGCAGTGTCATTTCTGGATCTGGATCATTCACAATGACCTGTAATTAAATACACAAAAGTATAAATACAAACTGTTAGCCTCGCTGTTAGCTGCTGTTTTGAAAACATGTATTTACACTTAAAGGTAAGCAATTATGCCCAAGTAGCCTAGGCTATGCTCACCTCAACTCCATTGACAAAGAAACGAATACAGCTTGCCCTTTCAACCCCGTCCATCTTTGACCTCTTTATCTAAGCCTGACTATAATAAGCCTCAGTTGTCTACTACATTAAAGGCAAACTGCGCGAGTAGCACTTGAAGGCGTGTCTCTCGTATAATTAGCTTAGTTCCATCATGAATATGGCACAGAATAGATATTCACACCTGATTAAAATAGCTGTGAGCTGTATAGAAATTTATATGGGGGCAGATCTACACAGAGAATTTCGTTTTTTAAACAATAGAATTAAAACAGATTATAATTATAACAGATTTCTGAGCTATCTGATTATTTATCTATAAAAATTTTATTCATTGTGACGACTGTGACCATGTTATCCTAAACACTTCAATGGCAGCACAATAGAAGTCTTCACTTCCAGAGCCAGTCAATGGCGGGTTAGCATAAGCAGCACAAGTTGCTGTACTCCCTCTGTACAAATCACCATCAATCCACAGACCATAGTGACTACAAATATGATGAAAATTCTATTTTTAGAATCTATTTATAGAACACCTACCCTCCCCCTGAGCCAATGATGATTTCGTCATCATTGGCTCTCATTATCAGGTCTGAGCCTGTCGTCCATTGAAAAACCTTTGGGTGAGGTTTTAATGTAAACAGGAAGGTTTCTCCTGATCCAAAGAAACTGTTTTTAGATCTCTCGGTCAGTGAAGTTGCTATGAAAGCACCAAAAACCTAACAAGACATAAGAGAAGAATGAGGAACTATTAATACAGTCACTTTTATTACTTACGGATTCTTTGAGTGTTTTTACAATCAGTACCAATGGCTCATCTTCTTCACATTTATGGAATAAAGTCCTTAAACTAAAAGAAAAACAAGCATACATGTAATTAGTACAGGCTCTGGGTTAAGGCATAGATATAAAGATTTTCTCATTATACAGGCATCTTCATTATAAAGGTGTTCTCATTATAAAGGTGTCCTTATTATAATGGTGTCTTATTATAGGGGCTACACTGTAGACATTATTTCTATTTTACTTGTATCCATTCTTTGATGCTTGGAACAAACACTCCAATGTATCACCAAAGGCCCAGTCTGGGAACCAGTCTACCAGTGTATCAACCATTGTCTCATCTATAATATCAGACGAGAATGACCCACCAAGACTAAACTTTCTCTTTTCCTTCTTTCCACCATTATCCATGACTGCTGCTCCTTCTTCACCGAGTGCAGGAGGAGGAGAGAGAGATAGAGAGAAAGGGGAGGAAGATGGTGGGGATTGCTGCTCAGCTAGGGAGCAGTTGAACAGCCAGTTTTTAAAAATGGTCTCCCAGGAGGGCAAATGAGGCAGAGAAATAGCTTCTGATATTAGCTTTGAGCTTTCTTTGAGAGAAAGGCTGGAAATGTAATGAGGGATGTACTGAGATAAAGACAACTGATCTGAGAGAGAGTGGAAATGAGTAAATTATTGAGTAAATTTATAGTAAAGAGAAAAGAGTGCTGTGCTATGTATAGCTTGAAGTTTACAAATAGGAGGTAAAATTTCTTTTCTTTTTGTGAATGCGCCTTGGCCTGCCTGGCTTAATAAAAGTAGTTTGTTTTTCAAGATGGAATTCGTAAAAATAACAAAAAATTTTGGGCCATAAGAATGTACGTATGTTGTGAACTTGTGACAGACTAACTTGTTCTGTAGTCTTCAAATCCAGAACTTGACACAAAAGACTTAATGGCTGCCAGAGCAAACCTGTATAGAACCTTTGGACCCTCCAACAGATAAAGATCTAAAACTCGAACCTATATAGACATATTACATTACGATGGGAATTGATACTGCGGAAACATACAATCATCCAGAAGGATTTATTGTAAAATGGCCAGAACGACCAGAGGGAGATGATCTCGTGGATAAAGATGCTCTCGCCCATACCAACTGGTTTAATAATCGAGAGTGATGAAGATTTCTATTAACAAGAGAGACAAACAATGACTATAGGAGATAACTGTACTGATACATGTTCTTGTGTTGCATAGAAACTTTGAGCTGATTTCAATCAAAATTGAATTTATAAATTTTAAAAGTTGATCAAAAATCGGGTTGAAGTCCCTCTGTACTAACATCAGCCAAATTTTGTCAAAATTAAAAAGAAGAGAATCTTCCACTTTAAATACATGTTTTATATTTTTATAAGTTTGAGCTGATTCTCATCAAAATTAGATTTTTTTCTTAATTTTAAAATTTCTCAATACAGTACAGGGACTTTGGCCAAATTTCATCAAAAATGACTAGGAGAGAGTTTTCCATTTTTATATTTTCCTGATACATAAATATGTACATGTACTTATGCTGCATAAAAAGTTTGAGCTAATTTCAATCAAACTTGATTTTTTACAAATTTTTAAAGTTGCATATATAGATACATGTACATGTACATGTACTTACCAGGTGCGTATTAATTAATTTAATTAAAGTCAAGCGAGATGCCTTCTCTTCTGTTCTGTTCCTATCAATCCAAGCTTGTCTCTGAAGCAACTTGTGTACTCCAATGTAAGACTCCCATTCCTCAAGAAAATGAAGTAGGAAATGTGACAGTATAGGGACGATGGAGACATCAGTCGATAAGAAATGTGACAAACGGTTATAAGAGGTACCAAAATTAGGACCGAGGGAGAAGATTGGTAGATCAATTGGGACCTTTAGAACAGGGGGAGGAGGGGACAACCCTGTAATTTATAGAAATACTATTACAAATATTAGGTGTTTCTATTATTATTGTTATTATCATTATCATTATTAGCATTATTAATAATTATTATCATCATCATTATTATTACTTGTCTTACTATCGTCGGGTTGACCAATCGCCCTCGAGTACAAAATGACGTCCTCGTCCACTATCTGCAACATAGCCAGCCAGTACTTCCTACGTACTTCTGGATCCACTCCAGATCTCACAAAAGACTTCAAAGAAGACTTAGTTCGTTTCGTGTTCTTGTCCCAGACTTTAGAATCTAAAGGTCTTGAATTAGTAAATCTAAGGAAAGTGATACATGTTATTCTTTCCTTTTCCCTCCTTCCTTCTTTCTTTCTCTCACTTTGTTAAAGTGGTTAGTGTCTTAAATTCATCATTTTCAATAAAGGCAGCAGCTCCATGGCGGTCAATGAGTGTAGAGAAGCAGTCAAAAGGATGGAGAGGCCCGGCAGCTGTTGCCATTTGCAATAGCAGCAGTATGTGCTGTCAATGCTTTGTTAATAATAAGTAGCTGACAGCAAGTGTCACTACATTAAAGCTAAAATGTGGAGGCCATTTTGAATAGGCGTGGGTAGTTATCAAATTTGTTAATGACTTTATCTCCGTCTACTTTTTTGTTTCCATAGCAACACAGAAACAAAATGGCGAACGATGGTGAGGATGATTTGCATGGAGAAGAAGACGAAGAAGATGAAGAAGAAGAGGCCATTACTTATCCTAAAGATATAGAAATGGTCCGTAAAAGCTTATTGTGTTAAAAATAACGCAAACAAAAATTTTATATATTGCTTTAGGCTAATAATCCTCTGGCCAGTGAAGCCGTGGCTGAAAACCTCTCTCTCCTTTGCAAGACAGGGAACGGTTTAGCTCATGCTTTTGTCAGACTTGATGTCAGGAACAAGTGAGGACTATAACGACACCTGCATTGCCACTAAAATTTGACATTCTACCCTTTAAAAATAATATTTTTCACTCATTTTAGAGGCCTGACTGATATCTCTATTCTAAATTGCTATGTTCACTTGCGTTACTTAGTAAGTTCCCATGTCACATGACTAACACATGATATATCATCCTAGGACCTATCAAATAATGGTTTGAGGGATATTAGTGCTGTAAATGCATTACCACACCTCCTCACATTAAAAGTGGACCATAACATGCTGACATCTGCACGCCTTGAAGAGGTGCTTAAATTGCCTATAAAAAACTTATTTTTTTATTTTTGATTGCAAACCTCTTCTTTTGTTGTCCTATCTCTCTCTCTCACTTACCTCCCTCTCTCTCAGTTGCAATATCTTCAAGTTGCTAGTTTTGCAAATAATCAGATAACCAGTACTGAGGGAATAGCTCATCCATTGCTGGAGACATTAAATATATCTTGTAAGAAGAGAGAAAAAATTATCCTAAATTATTTCTATAAACAGCTAACAAGATAAGAGAGCTAACAGGTCTCACCAGACAGAACCTTCCTTCTCTGAGATCTCTGGATCTACACGGCAATGAGCTCTCATCCATCCAAAACCTTCACATACCGACACTCCGCCAGTTATTTTTGGCGTCAAATAATTTGTCAAGCATTGATGGTCTGAGTGGCCTGCCTCAGTTGACCACGTTGCATCTTCGCAACAATCACATTGCAACATTAGATGGATTCACATCAGACCTTGAGTCACTGCAATATATTAATATGAGGTATACATGTACATGCCTAATATAATTTTTTTCTTTCCAAGCTTTTTTATACTCCATGCAATATTATTTGTTCTTTATTTTAACTCTCTGTATATATAACAGGACTAATAAAATTGCAGAACTATCCGAAGTTGACAAACTTAAATGTCTGCCTTACCTCAGAGCTCTTAGTTTATTAGGTCAGCTCTACTGTTCTATTTTTAGCAACTCTAGCTATGACCTCTCATTAATAGATTGTCCTATCTGTGATGTTGAGGATTATCGCATTGAAGTTTTGGTGAGATTAAGGAAACTGGAGAGGCTTGATAAAGACCAGTACACTGATGATGAGAGAGGAGATGCTGAAGATGTAATTATTTTAGCTGCTTTGAGCTAATTTAATTCTCTTTTTGCATATAATGTAGATTCATTCACAGAGGCAGGCTGAAGCGAAAAAAGCTGCAGAAGCTGCTGAAGAAGAAAGTTAAAAGGAGAGAAAAGGACAATAGACGAACACATCTAGCAACCATTTACCCTTTAAACACATGTATTGCATCTTTGAAAAGAAAATAACATGAAACTTTAAAAGTTTATTCAATGCCCACTTCTATTAAGTAAACGATTTTCATGATAATTAGATCTAATCGATATTCGTTACCAGCCCCACCCTGCCACCCACATAAGTGACATAACTATCACGTGTCCACTATTAGCTGAGTATAGTAAATATGTCTGTCTCGCTCTCTCTCCTTGTCCTCCTCTCCTGCCTCTTCTCCCTCTCCTCCTCCACGGATAGCAGCGTCCAGCCTTCATGCTCCAAAGCACTGACCCACAATGACACCCACAAGCACCTCAGCAAATACATTGGCTTCACTAGGTGAGGATTGACATGGTAAATGACCACGCCCTAATCCCTTTTCCCCCTCTCTACAGTGAACTAGAAGGAGTCCATTCCGATAAGACCTATAAATACAAGATTGGTGTCTGTGTTGAGGTTGATAGAGATAATGCGCCTGGTTGTGGTATAGTCCAGTATGAGCATTACACTCACAAAAATGGTACAATAGAAACCAGGCGTTATTGTATTGGTCTTCTTTCTAAATCTCAAGTTACAGAGAGTAAGTAGGCTGGATTGGCTTTCATTTGTACATGTACTTTGTGGTTGATGTACAGTGTAGTTGTACATGTACATTGTACATTCATGTATGCATGTCACGTCTAGAGAATGGACAGTAGCCTTTTATATTTTGTTTTATTTGTTGTCTACTTGCCAATTAGTACTACTTGTTTATTATATAAATCTACGCATTATATTATTGTTATTATTATTATTATTATCGTTGTTAGCTAATGATCATGTGTGGGTGGAGCTTACATATTCCGGTGGTGACCGATACGGTAGTCATTGCAATGGAGAGAATAGGAAAGGCAGACTGGTCTTCATCTGTGATCCACTCATAACAGGAATGGTAGGTTTGGGTATGGGATTATGAAGTATGGAAATATGATGCATATGCTCAAATTAAAGCCTGTTTTAATTAGAAGCCTCTGGAATCAAGGAAATAATAAGCCTATAAAGATAGGAGAACAATTATATAGAAGCCTTGCACATGCAAATTAATCATAGGAGAAATGTAGCATATTTTAATTAAAGGATATACTGTATAGCACTTTATTTTGGCAATTTTGCTGTAAAATTGTAATTGGCGGTTTTTAATTTGGTGATTTTTGTGTACACGTGCATTACTGAGCATCCGTATTAATGATTGGTGGTTTTAATATTGGCGATTCTGCTTGCCAATTGCCAAAATAAAACTCCACCAAATTAAAGCGCTAATCACAAGTACATGTATAATGGTGAGGAATGGTTGTAGTAGCAGGCTGGCACAAGCAGGCTGGCACATTAGTGGTCTATTGATAGTGAAAGTGATAATTTGTGGTTTTTTAAAGTTATTGCTTCTTGTATTATGTGGTATTACTGATAATATAATCAAAGTACATGTTGTGACTGTCATTAAAATGTAATCTTTTTACTTTCAATTTATATGTGACCATAATTGACAAAAGGTACCTTATGGCGGATAGGAAAATTGGTCTTTATAGCCTGAAAAATCGAACTTCCTGAGCTCGATTTATCTTAAAGTTTCTTGAGAGGATGCAAAAATTTATTATGTAACTTTTAGAAACAATAGTTGTCTAACAGAGCACTCAATGGTTGATATTTTTCATTATAATGATGAATTTAAAAATCCGCCATAAGGTACCTTTTGTCAATTATGGTTACATATGTGGATGTGCACTTTGTTATGCGTGTAGTTGGGATTTTCATTTTATTTCTCATTTTAGGGTAAATTTGAATTCCTTGAAGAGAACAGAGATGATGATTTATGCTATTACCTGTTCACGATCGCTTCAAGTCAAGTGTGTGGCAATTCAATAACTGTTGGAGACGTTATACTAATCCTGTAAGTGACACAATTTGCATTCCATAAATCCTTAAAAAGAATCCTGTACTTTTGTTTCTTATCTTTAATTTATACACAGACTAAGGAGTCTCCTATACTTCATACCGTATAGCGGGAAATTTGGTGAATTGCTAAATTTTGGTGATAGGTATTTTTATTTTGGCGAATTTGTGGCCACATGCCATTGAGCATGCATATAATGGCTCAAAAGGGTGGATTTTTATTTTGGCGAATGGCTATCAAAATGCCAAAAATGGCCCTCCAAAATTTCCTGCTATACTTTATATAGACTTATATTCCCTAAGCTTCTAGTTGACTAAATTGAGACGAGCTTCCTCCCTCTTTCTCTCTCCTTCTCTTCTATTTAGGATGTCTTGCCTTGTCGTGATTTGGCTGATCCTGATGCTGATTGGGTTTTTATATAAAAGGTTTTTCCTCGGGTCTAAAGGCTACGAGCAGATACCACTCATTGATTGCTATAGAGGATTTGGAAACCTTGAGGCCGTGAGTACCATTTGGGAGTATTTAGAATTAATTTTATTCTTAGGACGGCTGCGATTTTGTGTGTAGGAGTAAAGGCTCCACCCCTCCCTCTCAATATGTAAGCTATTATTAATTGGTGGGTGTGGTTTCAATAGATTAATTAATAGTTAATTGAAGGGTGTATTTTAATGTTTTTTTTAGAAGCCTCCTGCTCCTCCATTTTCTGCCGAAACCGACGAAGAGACGGACGAAGAAAAAGACGATAATCTCCTTCCCATGTAAACCGCACCCTATGGCAGTGGTTGTGGTAACACATAGGTTGGGCGTGCCATATATATTATATTATATTATATTATATAGGATTCCTCTCTCTCTCTCTTTTCTACCTCCTTACTACTTTAGATGCTAATTATTATTTAATAAAATTTGTTGTTATTATTATTCAATCATTAGAGGACAGATTATTATTGTTTAATTTTTGCTAATTTTTTTATTAAACAGAGATACATAAAAATTTGCCCAGTGCTCCCTTTCTTCATCCCTCTCTATTGCAGTCTGTGGTTTGTTCATGCTCTGTATTGCATTTAAACTGAAAGGGAGTTGTACGAGCAGGTGGCAATTCATGTACTTGTACAGCACTGTTATCACTTTATAATACAATACAGACAATGCTTCTCTCAAAGAAAGAAAAAATTAGCTTTAATTTAGCAAGACAGAGAGAGCAAACCTGAGTCTTACTAGTGTCTAGTATTTAATTTTTTTGTAAAACATTAATAATAATATGGATAAAAGAACGCCCACACACTTCGTTTCTGCTGATCTTTCTTCCTCGACGTCACGTGCTTACGTTGAGAGAGCCTTTATTCCTCTGGTCGTAGAGCAGTCAGGAGAAGAGGAGACCTCCAGAAGAATGCCTTCCAATTCAAGAATGAAGCTCTCGCTCCCTCTTCTACCCGTCCTGGTAAGTCAATAGGCTTTTATAATAATATAATTTTGTTTTCTGTTTTGTCCGCCATTTTGTAATAATAAAAGCCTTCGTAGCTACATGTGCAAGTGTATTTATCCTTTAGAGAATGTTTTGACTAGATAATTTACATGTTTACACTTATTTTATGAATAAAAGAACAAAACAAAGCCCATTTAGCCCAAGTCTTAATTAGAGGGTGGGGCTCAAATTTAATGTGCAGCTGTAGCTTTAAATATGTGCGTAGGTGTGTAATCATATTACCATTTTCTTGTTTGTAGTTTTTGGCTTTATTTCACTTCTCTATTGTGTGCCTGTAAGTTACAAATGATATAAAGTATTATTAAATGCATTGTTCTTTGTTCCAGTGCCCTTTTAGCTGCCCTACCAACTGGGTACTTCTTTGTTCATCTTCTTTTAATGTTGATGGCCATCTGGTCTACACAAGACAAGAAGGGCGTACTAGTCGTAGCTGTGGTATGTAATAACATTTATATAAAGGGAAAAGAAAACGTCATTTTTTTACATTACAATCTCTCTTAAGACATTCTTTATAAATGCTGATTCACATTTCAGACTTAACTAATATGAGGAATATTATATAAACCAATGGCCAGAGTTAACTTAGCCTAAGGATAGGGATAATCTCTATCCTGATGAAGTTAACTCTGGCCATTGGTTTATATAGCACTTCCTGTCTTAACTTACTTCAGTTAAGTTTTATGCATGTGTGAATTAACCTTGACAGACATATCCTTTTAATGGACGGTACCTAGTGTAATTTGATTCCCAAATAACCTCAGCATAAAGGACACTTCTGTATAACAGTTGTACCAAAATGTCCGTTACATAGAGGCTACACTGTAATGATAATACTAATGGAGGGAAAGTTCCTCTTGCACATTATATATATATTCTTTTTTTCCTTTTACTTTTAGTATATATATTTGATGGTCTTTTCATTGCTCGTTGATCTGATAACAATCGGTGTGTATTGGGATGTGCTGACAGCATCTGGCTATGGAAGATTTGCATTATTGTATCCAAAGAATAACATACTTTATATTTCAATCTTTTGCATATCATTATAGTAGCTTATATTTGATACCATCTCTGCATATTTCTTAACCAATACTCTAGACTGGTTTTCTCCAATTTCTTTTCAAAGGTAAAATACTTTTTGCATTTTTATTAAAAAATTATGCAATTCTTAGATCCCTTCAACTATCTACACCGTCTTTATACTGTATCAAAAGAGTGACGGTTTTAAATTCTCCTTTTTGCCAGGTTGTAAGTTCCTGTACATGTTTTTTCTTCTAATGGCTGTTTTCTCTTTTTCCAGCTGCGAGGAATAATGGCTACTCAGAGATAAGAGATACAGTCACTGTTGATATAGAGGCACCTCCTGGTAGCGAGGAAAACTCTCAAGCAGAATAAAGATATTTTAAATAATAGCTATAGTAGTTTTAATTGATAATTTTCTCTATCTAACTGTGTTTTGTGTGTCTAAGAGAAAATCCAATTCTTTGTGAGCAATGGCATAAATATTGTTAATATTATTTTGTTTTTTTGAGTCGATACTTTTTAAGAATGATACCATTCATTATTATTTCAGCCACCCATGCTTTGTCACGTGGGTAATATCGGAACGCCCATTTGACCACGCCCCTCAGTTACCATAGCAACAACTAACCACCATGCCTCCCAAAGCCAAGAAGAAAGATGATAAATCCTCTGACAAGAATGCAGTAGATGAGGTCTGTTTCTACATCAATGCACTTGTATAAACTTAATTTGTTCTTTAGAAGTTCAGTCAGCTTGATATTACGACAAGTGACGTACGTACCGCTGTCATAATGCTGGACACCCCAGAAACGTCAATAGTCTGTAAATCCTGCCAGTCACTCCAAAGCTATATGGAGAAATGTATGCGTGACTTTGAATTTGCATGGATATTGTGTACTCTCGAATGAAAGGGGCTAAGTGTACATGTGCATGCAGCCTAGTATCAAGAGTGCATCAATTGCAACACTTCAACTTTTCACTGTTAACTTTTGACCTATGTGCTACCGTATCTCTGTTTTAGTGCTGCATAGTTTATAAAATGTTAATAATCATTATTATATGCAATATAGCATAGAAGATCCCTCAATTAGAAGCCTGTGTATAAATTAAAGAAGCCTGCAGCCTTTGTATGAGATAATAAGAATAATACATTACTCATTAATTTATTTGCTTCATTTCTTTCTGCAGCTGATCAGAATTGTATTGAGTTGCATGAGCTCAACATTGTCCCAAGGCTTGTCTCTCTAATTGCGTCACAGGAGAAAGTCATTGTTGCTCATTCTATTCTCTGTCTTGCTGCAATGTCCAGCCACCGTAAGCTCAAAGTTGATACATAGCATAAGTACATGTACATGTATATGTATTAGAAAAAATCATAAAAATTAAGAATTCTCTCCTTGTAATTTTTGTCAAAGTACATGTACATGTACCTACAATGTATGCATACTATAGACAGTACAGGGTCTTTGCCCTAATTTTTGAGCAATTTGATCCACTGACAAAAAGAATACTGTACCTTATTATAAACTTGTGGATGCATAACTGCTCTAGCTTAATGGGTGTATTGTATTGACAGATTGACTCGGCTAGTTGGGCAATTTAATGCACACAAAGCTATGAAAATTATAGCATATGGTGATGATAATAATTTTTGTATTTTTGTACTACACGTAGTTGTTGTGAAACGGTCCTTACTAAAACTACCAGTCATCCCTCCGTTGCTTAGCCTGCTCAAACCTGATGGTAAGTTTATAGTCACATGATACTCACATGATCTATTGGTTAATAGAAGAGCTTGTAATATTGGAAAGAGCTGCCTTTATAGTATCGCATTTAGCAGGTACGTCTTGCGTTGTTATAGCAACAAAGTAACCACACCCATTTCTAGACGAGTACACTTTCAAGCAGCAGCTAGAAGAGGGCGGGGTCTGTCAGTTATTGATCGGTTTGCTGTCTCACGGAGATTGTGACGTTACTAAAAACGCGATCAAATCTCTTTCGTTGTTGACACAGTATTACAAAAGTAGATACAGCTTTGAAGAAAACAATGGTAAGAACGTTATATGTACATGTACATGTATACATGTACATACATGTACATTATATAATTGTCTTTCTAGCTTTTCAGTCTTATCAAATAATATAATATATTTTTTTGCATACACATGTACAGGTTTTCCTAACGTGTTACCATTATTGTCTTCTGAGTATGCGATAATTCAAGAGCTTACTCTACAAACTTTGCACAATTGTCTTCAAGATGGTAAGCAAGTACTTATACACGTAGTCTCTTATTTAAAGCTACGTTGATTGCTCCTTAGGCCAGTGTAGAGCTGCTTTTAAAAAGGCAGATGGACTCGCAAAACTTATGGACTTCTTATCAACTAAAGTAAGAGAAACAGAGGCATATAGCAATAATAATTATGATGATGTTTTCAGGAATGGGACGATTTACATGTACTAGCTATTAATGTCCTCTCGCTGTGTTTGCTTGAGGAGGGAGGAATGGAGGCACTCCATTCTTCAGACTGTCTTCAACGACTGCTCAAATGCATACAAGACTCTCAAGTACCACAGATGAAAATAAATGCCGTGAGTATTAATGAATGCCAGAAATATTTTTATTTTACATGTACATGTATACATGTATTTATTTTAATTTTATTATTGCATGCATCAAATTTTAGACCATAGCAGTTTCAAGGGCAGCATCGGACAGCATGAGTTTGAAAATCCTCCACGAGCAAGATGCAGAGAAAGTCTTCATCAGCCTCCTATCATCATCAGTAAACAAACACACCATCACATGACAGTCACGTGACATTATACTCTGTTATAGGACGAGGGGCTACTGGTTGCAGCCTGTGGAGCACTGGCAGGCCTCTCTTCTCTAACCACTAGCCGACAACTTGTTGGTAAAGAAGGAGGGATAAAAGCTCTGGTTCAGCTATTACAAAATGCCAGTGCCTCAGTTAGAGGTGCTGCTGTTCATTGTCTGGCATTTGAAATTACCGACACACCCAGCAATATAAAGTATGCGATTATACAGTAAAGCTTGTATTATGATGAATGTACATTGTAGTTTAGTTAGTGAAGCTGGTGGAGTGGAGCCCATCGTTTCTTTGCTGTCGGATGATTTAGCTGCAACTCGAGTACACGCAATCAGTTGTATTATCAGTATGACCACCAATGGTAAGCATCATCATCATCATCATCATCATCATTAAACATTCTTTATTCCTTATTCTCTAAAGGTGCTATAAGAGGAGAGCTGATAGAACAAGGTGTAATGAGTGGACTAGTCTCTTGTATGCCTCATGTTGATACAAGAGTACAGCAGATGAGTCTTGAGGCAATAGCACTACTAGCAATTGAATCATCTGCCAGAGAACAAGTACATACATGTAGATATATGTACATGTACAAACCATAAAAGGGCTACAATTAGTTATTCTGCAGTGCTCTAATTTTGTGTACATGTACATGTATGCTGTACAAAATGCTGCCTACACCACATGTATACAAAATGGCTATCTACAAGCTTTTTTGCTGCCTGCAAAAGCCTTTTTGCTACTGTGGACTACTTAGCTTTTAGCACTATATACTGTATACTCATTGATTCTAACTTCATCTCTTTCCTTCTTTAGTTTCCATTGGAGGAGGTTGAGTGCTTGTTGGAGCTACTACTGTCTGGCAATACTAATGTCTCAATGACTGCATCATGGGCTGTATCAATGCTAGCCTACAACAAGCAAATAGGAGATGCTATATTTAAGAATCAGTAAGCATCACTATTGTTATTATTATTATTATTATTATTATTGTTATTATCATCATCATCATCATCATCTACAGAGGTCTTGAAAAGTTGCAGCAACTATCGAACTCTCCTAATCAAAAAATACAGAAATATGCCAACCTGGCAAAGAATCGTCTCCTATCTGGCTCACCAGCAGCCCTGTACCATGTTACCGGTCACCTATCGACCATTGACACCATTGTAGGGGTAGAGTTCTGGGACATGGGCATGGCAGAGAGCAATAAAGGATTTGTACCTTTACAAGAACTTATTGGAAAGCCAGCAGAACTTAATAGGTTGGGTATAATATGGCTAGGAGAGAATCCTATGCATTTCCTACATGTACTGTATTTTTGAGTTACATGTACATTGTATGAGTATTTTAAAATGAGTCAATTTTTGAAAAATACTCAAGGCTATAGCCCATGGTTTTTTCCAAAAAATGGCTCCGAAATCACCCCAAATTTTTATTACATTTTCTGATACATATTGATGTCCTTATGCTGTGTAGAAAGTTTGAGGTGATTCCGACTTCAATTTTTTGAGTTATGGCCATTTTAAGAAAATGTCAAAAATCTGAAAAATACCAAAGGCTATAGCCCATGTTTTTTTCCAAAAAATGGCTCCGAAATCACCCCAAATTTTTATTACATTCTCTGATACATATTGATGTCCTTATGCTGTGTAGAAAGTTTGAGGTGATTCCGACTTCAATTTTTTGAGTTATGGCCATTTTAAGAAAATGTCAAAAATCTGAAAAATACCAAAGGCTATAGCCCATGGTTTTTTCCAAAAAATGGCTCTAAAATCACCCCAAATTTTTATTACATTTTCTGATGCATATTGATGTCCTTATGCTGTGCAGAAAGTTTGAGGTGATTCCGACTTTAATTTTTTGAGTTACGGCCATTTTAAGAAAATGTCAAAAATCTGAAAAATACCTAAGGCTATAGCCCATGGTTTTTTCCAAAAAATGGCTCCGAAATCACCTCAAATTTTCATTACATTTTCTGATACATATTGATGTCCTTATGCTGTGTAGAAAGTTTGAAGTGATTCCAACTTAAATTTTTCGAGTTACGGCCATTTTAAGAAAATGTCAAAAATCTGAAAAATACCCAAGGCTATCATTAAATAAAAATAAAAATAATCTGAAATATTCCCACGCTCGGAGAAAAAATCAGAAAAAATTCCAAAAATTAAATTAAAAAAATTTGAAAATATTCCCACGCTCTTGGAAAAAATTAGAAAAAATCATTAAAAAATAGAAATAATTCAAAAATATTTCCATGCTCTCGGAAAAAATCACAAAAAATTAAATTAAAAAAATCTGAAAATATTCTCATGCTCTCGGAAAAAATCAGAAAAAATTCCAAGAATAAAATAAAAATAATCTGAAAATATTCCCACGCTCTCAGAAAAAAATCATTAAAAATACAAATAATTTGAAAATATTCCCACGCTTTTGGAAAAATCAGATAAAATTGCAAAAGTAAAAATTAATATAATCCGAAAATATTCCCATGCTGTTAAAAAAATCAGATAAAATATAAAAATAATCCAAAAATATTCCCACACTCTTGAAAAAAAATCCAAAAAAATTCCAAAAATTAAATTTAAAAAAATCCGAAAATATTCCCACGCTCTCGGAAAAAATCAGAAAAAAATTCCAAAAATAAAAATAAAATAATTTGAAAATATTTCCACTCTCGGAAAAAAATCAGAAAAAATTCCAAAAATTAAAATAAAAAAATTCGAAAATATTTCCACGCTCTCGGGAAAAAATTAGAAAAAATCATTAAAAAATATAAATAATCTAAAAATATTCCCACACTATCAAAAAAAATTAGAACAAAAATCATAAAGTATAAAAATAATCCAAAAATATTCCCACACTCTTGAAAAAAATTCCAAAAATTAAATTTAAAAAATCCGAAAATATTTCCACGCTTTTAGAAAAAATCAGAAAAAATTCCAAAAATAAAAAATGAAATAATTCGAAAATATTCCCACACTCTCGGAAAAAAATCAGAAAAAATTCTAAAAATAAAAATAAAATAATCTGAAAATATTCCCACTGTCTCGGAAAAGATCAGAAAAAATTCCAAAAATTAAATACGAAAATATTCCCACACTCTCGGAAAAAATCAGAAAAACTCATTGAAAAATAAAAATAATTTAAATATGTTCCCACGCTCTCGGAAAAAATTCCAAACATTAAATTAAAAAATCAAATATTCCCATGCTGTCGGAAAAATCAGATAAAATCATTACATAAAAATTAAAATAATCCGAAATTTCCCACACTCAGAGAAAAAAATCAGGAAAAATTCCAGAAATTAAAGTAAAAAAATTTGAAAATATTCCCACACTCAGAAAAATCAGAAAAAATCATTAAAAAAATTAAATTAATCTGAAAATATTTCCACGTTGTTGGAAAAAGTTATTAAAAGAAAAAAATTTATGGCCCATGGTTTTTTCCAAAAAATGGCTTCGAAATCACCGCAAATTTTTATTACATTTTCTGATACATATTGATGTCCTTATGCTGTGTAGAAAGTTTGAGGTGATTCTGACTTCAGTTTTTTGAGTTATGGCCATTTTAAGAAAATGCCAAAAATCTGAAAAATACCCAAGGCTATAGCCCATGGTTTTTTCCAAAAAATGGCTCTGAAATCACCCCAAATTTTTATTACATTTTCTGATACATATTGATGTCCTTATGCTGTGTAGAAAGTTTGAGGTGATTCCGACTTCAGTTTTTTGAGTTATGGCCATTTTAAGAAAATGCCAAAAATCTGCAAGGAAATCACCCCAATTTTTTACAATAATTACATAATTACATGTACATGCACTTGTACATGTATGTAGAAAGTTTGAGCTGTTTTTGACAGCTAATTTTCTTTTGTTAGAGTTAAGTATACCTTTTTGTACACATCCAATGTTTATATACATGTATCTAATTGTAGGCCTATATTAACTGTGTCTCTAATTAATCAAACAACGAATCCTTCAGTTAATGATGATAGCAGTAGCACAGGGGGCGGAGAGAGTGGAGGAGGGGGCGTGGCTAGCAGAGAAGAGTCCATAGTCGATAATACGAAATCACGATCAGGCGCATCAAGCAAAGTGTAAGAAAATTTTTTTAAAATTATTTAAAAATATAATTTATTAGTAAAAAAGCGAAAAGTGAGAAATTGGACGACCTGACTGTAGAGGAGCCAGAGTCTCAGCCACGCCCACCAGAGGGAGTCCTTCCTCCTGATTCAGGACTGATGGAACACATGACTCACGTACAACGAAACATACAACCACTGGCATCAGTACAGGACCAAGCAGAGAGGCTAGCTATGTGAGTGGATGATACATTAAAAGACATGTGTACATGTACATGTACATACAGTATAGTGCAATAAAATAAAAATGCACATGTACATGTACATGCAATAAAATTAAAATCCACATGTACATGTACATGCAATAAAATAAAAAGGTACATGTACATGTATAGCTAGAACCTACTGTGTGCAGTGAACCTCTAAAACAAACTTCTTTTTATACGTACATTTTTTACATGTACATGTACTTCGACTGCATGTGCACTACTTAACTAGCACCTTTACTATAATTATAAAAAATAATCGTAAAAAATACAATTAAAATTGGAGCCAGTTTTTATAGAAAAAACAAATTTAAAATGACTCAACAAGTTTAATATTATTATCATTAGTCATTTTTTATGTCAGTTATGTTTCTCAAGTGATGGGTGGGGCCGTCAGTCGCAGCACTAGTATACCACAGGACCTTCCAATATCAAAAATACAAACCATTAATCGTACAAACCTCGTCCCAATCGGCAACATCAATAAAGGATCATTTCAACACCGCAGTCTCCTTTATAAAGTACTAGCAGACGCTATTGGTATCCCGTGCACACTCACTCGTGGAGAGTATGGAAGATATTGGAACACGGTCCTCGTTAACGAGGGGGAGTGGCTCATTGATCTGATGTACACGCCCGGTAAATTATTGGGAGAGCAAGAAGCGAGCTATTACAAATCAATTTAAACTTTACATGTATTTTAATAATAATAACAATAATAATAATGATGATACATGTAATTATAATATTATATAGAGCTTGAAATTATTATAATAATTACATGATTGTTTTAAGTATTATCTTTTTCTCATTGAATAATTATAATACGTGAAAACAATTACTTAGTCACTATCATCATCGTTAGACGATAGTTCAAACTCCTCAATTCTGTCTCTCTCTTCATCATCACTATTACTACTACTGCAGCTGCTCAATTCCTGTCTTTTATTTTTAGAATTAACCTGCTTTCCTTTTCTCTTCTTTTTATTCCCTTCCCCTACTTGTACGTCCTCTTCCTACAATTATGAAAAAAATATTTTAAATTTTAAAAGTATTTCAAAATTCAAATTTTGGTCATCAAAAAATCCCAAAAATAAGTTAAAAATTTAATTCTGATCATAGATATTAGAGTTACTATTTGCAAGTACTAGTTTTTTTTGCGAGTGGCTTTAAAATCGCAAAAAAATTAGTACTAGCATTTATTAATAATTTAGGCTGTTTATTAATAGTTATTAATTTAAAAAAGAGCAAAATCGCAAAAAAACAGCATAATATTGCTAAATCAATACCATTAACAATATTCTCTTCCTACAATTATAAAAAAAGTATTTCAAATCCAAACTTCAAATTTTGGCCACCAAAAATCCCAAACTTACTTCTGATTCATCTACCTCCTCCTCCTCCTCCTCCCCTTCCTCCTGTTTTTCTTCCTCTTCTAACTGCTTCTGTACAGCGACCCACGTCTCATAAAAGCTCTTTAACGGGTTCTTTTCAGCTTTACGCTCTCTCTCCCAGCACTCCTGGAAGAGGAGGGAAAGGATCAATAACACCAGCTGGTCTTCATATCATGTACACATACATGCTTATGCTAACATGCTTATGCTAACATGTTTCATAGCTATTGACTTACGACTTGGTCTTTGTCTTTAGGAGAAAATGTTACTTCACTTCTCTCCTTCATTAACAGCTTACTAGTCTCTTCACTCTGATAACAATAATAACAACAACAACAACAACAATAATAATAATAATAATAAAATCACTTTTTCAATTATTTGTTTGATGTGATGCTTAAACCAACTGATGGACGAAGACTTCATTATCTTCCGTAGCTTAAAATAAAATAAATAATAAGAGGATTTAGATTAATTAAACAAACGACACTTGCTCTTACCCTAGCTATGGTTGGGAACGACATCTCCGGGTAACTGATGAGATGAGATTGACCGGATAAGAGTTTAATTAACAGCTCCATACACCAATTTAGTATCGAACTCTAATTAAAAGGAAGATGTGAAATATTAAAAGAGAGAGAGGGGGGGTGAAGGACAGGGAAAGAGGAAAAAACATTGAGTGAGAGGAGATGGATTATCTATGGGGGAGAGAGAGTGAAGTAGGACAACACAGGAAAGGGTGGGCCGGTTTGTAAGGAGGCTGCTAATCAAATAAATATCAGGGGACAGGAAAAATAAAGACATTCTATAAAATTAAAAGAACCGGCCAACAGGAAGAATTAGGACAATTATTACACACACAAGTAATTAGTCAATGAAAGCAAAATTAATTAATGACAATATATAAATCATTGCTTTTATTAAAGCATGAAATATTCACACCAGTTGTAACAGAGACATTTAATGAAAACAGAAATTCAAAGAATCAAAATAAAAGTAATTTCTTAGGACAAACATAATACGTCAAAGATCAATAGTCCGCTTCAAAAACAAGCCATACTAAACTATGGAGTATAAAGGAATGATCCATATCAAGAGAAGGAAGCAGCTGTGAGGTCAAATGAGATTATTTTGACTGACAGCAATTAAAACTTTATCAATAAAAAAGGATCACACAGTGTCTATACCTTATTACGTAACACTACGTGAAAATGCATAAGAACTACTAGAAGAATGCAAAACACTTGAAGGGGCTCAGCCCCTGAGCCACGCTATTGCTGTGCTGTAATGACCTTCCTTGCTGCTATACAGTTTGGTCTTGTCTTGCTGACCGTTTGCTGCAAATAAAGACAAACTTGCTATTTAACTTTGATAATAGTTAGATGACCCTATCCCCGTACAAACAGATGCACTTTCACTTTGCCCAAAAACAACAAAATATATAAATAAAATTGTTTTTGTGTTAGGAGAAGGAGGAGCTAACTTGTGTTGTTTTGCTTCCAATTTGGTTTTTCTTTAACTTTAGAGTGCACAACAGACTAGGGGACTTCCCCACTCCTCCCTTAGCTCCGCCCCTAGCTCCACCCACTTTACCAGAAGAACTACTCTCTAATATCTAAAATACAAAAATACACAGCACATGTACAGTCGTACATGTACATGTACACAAACGTACTTCAAGAATTATCGGGGCTAAAGGAATGTACGTGTTGGTTTCCATGGCAACTTCGACAAGCATCCTCACAACATGGAGTCTAGCCGGAACAAAAGCCGACGAAAAAGTAGAAAGGAACTGGGCGACGCCCATTGCTACCATGGTAACGGGATAAATTAAAGGAGAGAGGGACTCGTGACAGTTTGAGGATGAGAGAACAGAAGTGAATAGCTCGAGAGAATGCATAAAAGGCCAAGTAGCAACAGCGACAGTTTTGTTATCGAATGCACTCCGGAGTTGATTCGCTAACTGTCTCGTGTATATGAATATTAATTGGTAGGCGTGGTCAGGAGAGAGGGAGAGGAAATCAATGAGGCAGCCGCACATGAACCGAATGTGAGATATGGTTTTAACATTTGTATATTTACTGTTCCTTATATAGGCAAGATAAAGGGACTAGAGGAAGAGAAGAGAATAACAACAACAACAACAACAACAACAACAATAACATACCTTCAAAAGATCTTCTTGCTTATGGTAGTTCATACTGATGAATATTTTCCTTAGAATAAGAAAAGAGAGTACGGTCGTTCCATCTTCACCAGGACTCCCTCCATGGCTCCATATTTTAATGAGATGCTTGCAAAGGAGTCTGGAGAGCTTTGGGAAGCAGCAGTAATATATCCAGAGACCCTCAACATGACGCAATAAAGCACAGACCATGGTGGAGTCCGTGACACCTACAAGCAACTGAGAGAGAGAGAGAGAGAGAGAGAGATGGCTATACATGTACATAGTGTTTTTGATAAGGAATTAAAATACGTATAATGCTATTGACCAAGCACCAAACAGTATATTATACCTACAAGGTTGGCCTCACTCTACTCTAATTAAACTGAATTTCATTCGCATTTTGTGTCCTAAACGAACCAGTTTTTTTTTACTTCAATTTCATCAAAAAAATACCTGAGAATTAGTATTATTTTTATGAATTAAGTTAGTCTAATATAATGACCATTACGTGCTTCAATTATTCGTATAAGAAATAACAATTGGCCCACTATTATAGTATAAGGGTGAGGACATGAGGTGGGTATAGCTTTAAGCTATCAATTCCACTGGACGTACACCATAATACAACAAAGTCAATGTTTGCACAGACAAAGGGCCTAGCCCAGCTGTAACTCTCACAGGAAATTCCCTCCAACACCACCCACCCACCCATACACACACACACACTGATAGACACGCCCCCTCAATCATACTTGGATAATATCAACGAGATAAGATTTGATGACCAAGCGCAAACGCCCCCACTTCTTGTTAGTAGATGGTAGTGAAAACCTGTAAAAGTGTGGGCGGTGTTAATTAGGGACCATATTTAAATATATTTACTATGCAAAGCATGAGTATAGAAACCTCTTCAAGACACTTACTATTTGATTCTCAAGTTGTGTACGTGTGACTGATAATAAAGGTGTAACAGGATGAGATGTACATGCATACATGAGTATGTGGTTGTGCGATTATTTATTGTTTTGTAATTGTTAGTATTGTTTTTAAATCGTAATTAGTTAACTATGACAAGTTATCCTTACATGCGTGAAAGGATAATTGGCAGCGTGTGTCATTACAAATAAATAAATGAAAGTCAAATCCTTTTTATTCACAAGCTAGTTTTATTATTATTATTATTATTATTATTATTATTATTATTATTATTATTTATTGTGACTATAAATATGGCTTCCCAGCAGCTAGCACAAGGACATCGATTATTAATAAAAAGATTCACAGATAAGAACACACATACATGTACATGTACATGTACACAATTATAAAAAGACCTACTCTATCACATGCATCTAATGTACGATTGTACGTGTTACAATGTCAAAAAGGAGGGAGACAAATAAAGTGTGGCAGGTGCTTTTAATGTGGTTTACTTGGTAGAAGATGAAGGAGGCAATGGTAAGTGATGCTCTAATGTCTGACAAACAAACTGGAGGCAAGACATAATAAGAGAATTGAATACTAAAGGAGAAAGAGAGAGAGAGAGAGAGAGACAGAGAGAGAGGAAAGAGAGAGAGAGAGAGAGAGAGAGAGACAGAGAGAGAGGAAAGAGAGAGAGGTTAAATAATGTGACATTTAATTAAGGGAGGACACTACGCCCAACTCTGTCGATAGTCAAACGCTAGAGTGTTGGCCACAGTCGGTTACTAACTCTTAGTCTGCCTACCCACCTAGACTTCTTTCCTGGCTACTTTCCTTGCATCAAACCTGTCCTCAATCCCTTTACTCAGAAACACCAAATTATCATACCATGCAACAATATAAAGAACCTTTTACAGTTACTGTGTTAGCATGAAAGCCATGGTGAACAGCAGGCTAGGTAGTCCGGGCTTAAGAACCGGAACTGGGGGTTAAAATGTTTTTAATGGCTGCCAAACTCTCACCTCCCTTCCTGCCTTAAAAAGCTGTTGTTACCAATATGGCTTGTATAGTTACATGTGTGCTGATACTAAATACATACAGGGCCTATGACTATTATGTAACAAGAAAGGGTTTAAAACAGCTGCTAATGACAGCTTACTTGCTCCATCCTGTATTAGGTAGTGGTTGGAATGAGGCAGCAGTGGTTTGGTTTGTTGTTCTTCTCCGGATTTAATGATAGAGACAATGGCACAACGAAGAGCAACTGTCAGCTCAGTGAGTGAAGTGATTGAACGAGACTGTAAAATGAAAAAAGAAAAATAATTTAGAAATCTTTTAAAAATTCAATTTTGATCAAAATCAGTTCAAGTGTCTATACGATAAAGTATATGTATCAGAAAATGTAATAAAAATGAAGAATTTTCTTTTTCCAAAACTTGGCCAATATCCCTGTACTATACTACAAGCTCTTTGGCTCAATTTTTGAGCACTTTAAAAAATTTGAAACAAATTAATTTTGATCAAAATCAGCTCAAACTTGCTACACAACATAAGAACATGTATATGCATCAGAAAAAAATGATTAAAGTGAAGAATTCTCACCTTTTCATTTTTGAAAAAATTTCACCAAAGTCCCTGTACTACAGAGTCTTTGGCCCAATTTTGATCGGAATCAGCTCAAACTTTCTACACGACATAAGTACATGTATATGTGCATTAAAATAGATTATAAAAACAAAGAAGTCTCTTCTAGCCATTTTTGATGAAATAGTCTGTTGTACTATAGTCCATGGGACACAAAGAAAATGCTAGGATGAATGAAAGGAAGGAAGCTATAGTGATAAAGACCTGTATAGTACACAGGACTAATCAGTACAATGAGTCTTTGTACATTGATATCAGTAAGTGTGGGCTGTGAGGATATGGTTTAGTCTAGAGTCAGTCAACCTTGAACAATAAAGTAAAGGCAGAATGAAGGAGAGCCTTCATACAAAAGTAACCTTTTATAAGGAAACCTTTATAATAAAGACGCCTTTATAACGAGACGCCTTTATAATGAGGACATTTTGTAATGTCCCCTGAAATTAGGACACCTCTGTATTAAGGACAGGTAGTGTGGGCCCAATGGTGTCCTTAATAAAGAGGCTACACTGTACATGTATTAAGGGCAGGTAGTGTTGGGCCCAATGGTGTCCTTAATAAAGAGGCTACACTGTACATGCATTAAGGACAGGTAGTGTGGGTCCAATGGTGTCCTTAATAAAGAGGCTACACTGTACATGTATTAAGGACAGGTAGTGTGGGCCCAATGGTGTCCTTAATAAAGAGGCTACACTGTACATGTATTAAGGACAGGTAGTATGGGCCCAATGGTGTCCTTAATAAAGAGGCTACACTGTACATGTATTAAGGACAGGTAGTGTGGGCCCAATGGTGTCCTTAATAAAGAGGCTACACTGTACATGTATTAAAGACAGGTAGTGTGGGCCCAATGGTGTCCTTAATAAAGAGGCTACACTGTACATGTATTAAGGACAGGTAGTGTGGGCCCAATGGTGTCCTTAATAAAGAGGCTACACTGTACATGTATTAAGGACAGGTAGTGTGGGCCCAATGGTGTCCTTAATAAAGAGGCTACACTGTACATGTATTAAGGACAGGTAGTGTGGGCCCAATGGTGTCCTTAATAAAGAGGCTACACTGTACATGTATTAAGGACAGGTAGTGTGGGCCCAATGGTGTCCTTAATAAAGAGGCTACACTGTACATGTATTAAGGACAGGTAGTGTGGGCCCAATGGTGTCCTTAATAAAGAGGCTACACTGTACATGTATTAAGGACAGATAGTGTGGGCCAAACAGTATTCTTAATAAGGAGGCTACACTGTACATGTATTATGGACAGGTAGTGTGGGCCAAACAGTATTCTTAATAAAGAGGCTACACTGTATCCAATAATAGCTATTATTGCTTTTACACAAGAAACCATTAGATACATGTACCTTCCCACTCATCCTACTGTGACATTACTCTTGTCTAACATTATTATTATTATTAGTATTATTATTATTATTGTATAGTAGTAATGTACGACTCAGAACTTTAGTGGATGACGACAATCTGACATTGTTCCTATAGCTAGGAGAAGTGGAGCATCTCTATGACTACCAATTTACTATGATTCATTATTATAGTAGCATTGTATTGCATAGTTATTAATTAATACGTAATAATTGTATGAATTGCTACACATTATGCGTAGTGTGGGCGTTGCTATTTTAATGGATACATGTAGGCCTGTAGACTCATCACGTTTGCTTACAGAGTCAAGAGGAGCATGAAAATGCTTTGCCATTATATCCTTCAAACAAAATGCTGCGTGAACTAATGACAGATTAATGTAAAAGAAGCCAATTTAATGAATTGCTGCACTTACGCCCACTCGCAATAATTGCTGCTATGCTAGGATATAAAGCCCCGCCAACCGTCTAGACTCATAAAGCACTGACTTAGATCTCCTTGTTATTCTTCAATTATGATGGCTGCCTTCACTACCTCGTTCTCTCTTTCTCTGCTGGTCTTCGTTATTTTCGTTTTAGCTTCTTGGGGAGCGGTCTCTTCAACTCAGTCTTGCAGCGACTTAGCTTATGATGATAGCTGTGGTAAGCTACTCAACTTGTAAACAGCAACAATAACCATTTGTACTTTATAATAACTGTGCCATAAGTAGCTCTATTATTATTACTGATTGCCTTTTGGCTGTTAGCCATTTTTCTGTTTAGTGGTGGTTTGCAGAGGCTGAGTTAGATCTATGTATATATATATAGTAGACCTTTACTGAGCACAGCCTTGATGCACATGCATAATAGTCTAGTTTTAATATTAAATTTTTAATACATAATAATGTGCATGCATCGTATTGATCTATACTAAGTAATCAATTCTTGTGCAAAGACAGTTAAGGAAACTACAATAGTGAAAGTGTTTTTCTTATTATTTGTGATTACAATGTTGTTGCTAAAAATCAAATTAAGCCTCAAACTTGAATTACAGTTTCCTTGTACCATTATAGGTGATGATGGCCCTAAAGCATCTCAGTTGCTAAGATATGATAAAGTTCAGTGTCACTCTGGAGGAGAGGCTGTATCAGTGGCATGGTCTACTAATACTAGTGGCGACAGTGCGGCAGAGGATTCGAGTATAACACTTGAATATACATGCTATGTGAATGAAAGCAAAGTAAGCTATAATGCATTTTTAAAAGGCTAGCATTCATTATTATTTATTTATTTGTAGGTTTCTGATTTCATTCAATACTTTAGCAAAGATTTGAATCACTCGTCTCTGATAACTAAAAGTGAAGTCTTCCCCTTTGCAGACTATTGCGTGTTTAGTGGGTGCATCTCTTACGACGACTGCTGGTATAATATGAGCACATTTGTTAATAGAACATGCAGAAATGGTAAATGAAAATGAAAAAGCTACGAGTATAGTTTTACTGACATTCTGTCATTTCATGCACTGAATAGATTTGCAAACTAGTAGTGAAGTTATTAGCAGCAGCAGTGAAGTTCTAATTCAATCAAGTAGTAATGTAGCTCAACAGTCAATTCTTCCAATAATTGTTACTTCAACCGTCACTGAGTGTAAGTTGATTGATTGCATAAGCATTGCACTACACCTGCACCTTATAGCTTCTATGTTGACATCCAGTTTTGCAAGGGAATCTCACACCACAATAAAATCAGAATCTATTAGCAATCCATTAGGAACAAGTGAGTGTGGAGTAATGCTGTATGATTGAATGGGAAGAGTGAGTGGATGTAATGAGTAAATTGGTGGAAGCTATATCGAGTAAAGGACTCAGTGATTAGATTATCCAAAAGTGAGCCCAAACAGTCCAATACATATGGCAAATGAAGACATAGAATACAAAAGAATTAGAACTACATTAATTAACATACTGCTTGTGTTGAATAGAGAGATGGATGTGATGTCATTTTAAATGCAAGAGATTGCAAACAATTATTGCTCTTTGTTTATCCTTTTAGGTAGCTCTTATTATGCAACATCCTTGAAAGCTTCTCCTTCTTCACTTCCTCCACCATTTTTGCCAACGTCTCCTTTTCCAGAGACTATTGATCCAGTAATTGCAACTACCTTAACAGCAGGCCTAGCTTTTCTGATACTGCTAGTATTTGTTATAATAATGCTGATATTACTTAGTGTTGGTTATTGGAGAAGATACAATAAAAGGTATATAAGAGGGGAAGTGTGTATAGAGAGTCAACATAATTTATTGCTCTTATAATAGCAGGGAAGCCCTCCCAAATTCCTAGTAATTACAATCAAACAGTCAATTTGCATGTGGTAAATCGTTAACTAATTAGCTTCATTGGTATCCCATATGTTGACCAACTACTGTACTTAATGAGCTATGAATTGAAATGTAGCATAATGTATTGTACAGTTACTGTATTTATTGTACTATTACAGGAGAGATGAGGAAGAGCCTTACTACATTCCAAGCTTAGATTTGGTAAGTAAACAACTATTATAAGACACGCTTTGGTACACTTCCTTAATTACACACCTACATCCAAGCATGTATACTTCCTGCATATCATTACATGCAACAATGCCTTTGCTTCCAATTTTAAATGCATTAAGGAACAGCAACAAACTCAAATGTATGCATATCTAGTTCATAACTGGATTATACAAACTGTTCCTTCTCATTCCAATGCATTACGTAATATCAAAAGGAAATCCCCATCAGATCATGTGACAATATACGCATTATACATGTAGCTACAAAATTGCATGATTTTCATTCCATCTGTTCTTTGTAGAAGTCAGATTACACGTTTATTGAGCTCGGAGCCTCAACACTGTCTATTGTTACAGTCATCCAAGATTTGCAACCACCACCTCCAGCAGCAAGAGAGAAAGTTCCTCTGCTTAATATTGTACCCGCTCAAAAGAACATTAGTAATGTAACAAATAACAAATTATTGCCGGAGAGTCAAACTGATGACAAACAGAAATTGGAGGCAACATTTATTCGAGATAGAGAGCAAAGTTGCAAGTCACTCAGTACTTCTGAGGAGGATTGTTCAATTTCCATCAGTTCTACTGACAATATAAATAAAATGAAACTATTGTCATTAGCTTCGAGTACTGATTCCGGTTTTACTAATGGTACAGCAAGTACTGATGATGAAAAATAGATTAGCTCATAACAAAATATAGTCTATCATAGCATGCTGTTTGTTCTTGTAATCAAATTTTGTATCACTTTATTACATTATTTTTATCAAATTATTTTCATTATACAAAATTTAATTCCTAGACTATAATATGTAGAAGCTCTGAGCCCATTGAAATGAAAATGATTGTAAAGTTTCTTCAAAAATTTAGAAAATTGATTGGCATTAGGATGTAGGATGACGTAGATATGCAATTACCGGCATTATTATCTTTGACTCAAAGCAACTTTGCTCAAAGTGTGAACCACAAAAATGCATGCAATGATAAAGCAAGGCGTGGTAACGACAGAGAAGGCCTAAGGCTAGTTAATTTATAGCTAAAAGCACTGAGCAAAAGAGCAAAAGAACTCAAAGAGCAAAAAGACCCTTCTCTCTTTTCCTCTCTTTCTCTATCTCTCTCTCCTTTCTCCCTTCGGTCTTAATCTTTGTGATGAAGCTCGAGTTTCTGGCACTTTATGTTGTTCTATTCGGCTGCATGTGCATCTCATCAGCAAATATTTGCTGTACTAGTAACTTCGATCTATGTAGCGGTAAGTTTTCGTGTCTTTGCCACTAGTCTGCTTTATGATCAAAGTTATGATTGTTCATTTATAATGTAAACTATTTATCATAACAGTGTGTATTGTGCTACAGACTCAGCACTATCACTCACTGAGTGAGTCTAAAGAGTGCATGATAAAATTGATGAAATCATGTTTATCTAACAGATCTAGATTTGCCACTGATCTGCACAAAAAAGGACTATAAGTAGCACTCATAGCATTTGTATAATGGAAACTGATTCCCCCATGTCTAAGGCCCCGTTTACACTAATCCACTTCACTGAATCAGAGTTGTTTTTGCTACTATCAAAGCCACTTATGCATGTATAGTTAGTTTTGGTATCAAACCTTTTGCCTAAAGGCAGACCAACATTTCCTCTAATGTTCAGTTCAAGTATAAGCTTCAAAAGACGGCTAAGACAGTTGCACTGTCACAAGAGGATGTTAGACCTGCATTCTTGTCTGCAAACACTTCTTATATGATGCCTATCACTTGCACTCACATATTCGTGTACAATGACTCGTGAAATTTCATTAGCTTAATTGGCTTGTGCCATGGTAACATCATGTGCAACCATTGCTGTGGCATGCAGCACTGATTAGAATATGCAATTAACATTACTTAGTATAAACAAGTCTTTTATATTGTAGATGATCCACAATTGCAAGATACAGGAATTTTTGATATATCATTGTCATGTTATAATTCAACCATACATTGGAACAAAAATGAGGACAGTACAAACTATGATCTGAACCTTCATGAAACCTGCTATAATGTAACAACTGGAGAAATGGTATGATAATAAGATTATATGGGAGCTAATCATTTATCTCACTCTCTCTCCATGTCTCAGCTTCCTGATTATCCCAATTGCCTAATTCAAGGCAAGAGATCATCTGGGAATAAATCAATCAGACATATTGGAGAGTTTGATGATGTTGTGTGTTCATATGGTGGTTGTATTGCGTATGCTTATTGGTACTGCCATAAAAATATTCCTCATATAGGGAACTGCACCAGCCCTACACAAATTAGTAAGTGATGATTTCAATTTGATTGTGTTATGATTTCTCTTTATGCAGCACATACCCTAGAGCAGGCCTCATCATCATCATTAAGTTATTCCAGTAGTGCTCCAGGTTAGTTGCATGCATAGCAATCATCCTGTGGTTAGTCAGGATTAATTCATTTTTAATTGTGTAAGGAAAGGGATTACAATAAGTGATTATAGTTAACTTTAATATTGTAATTGCTTTATCATTATTAATCGTACAGTCCCTGTTCATCAATGTAGAACAATCATTAACTCTCTCCCTTCTCTTTCTTTTTCTTTTCCCTCTTTCAGTTTCTCTGCTTCCCACCATATCTCCTTTACCCTCTTCTCTTCAAGATATTGCTAGCTTTAGCAGTACATATATTGTATCTAGCTCCTCATTTGATGATTCAAAAATGATGTCATCCTTTTCAAAAACAAGTGAAACTTCAGGAACTAGAGAAAGCTACAATGTCTCTACTTCTTTCATGAGCTTGTTTCCATCAATGTCCTCGCCAATTGTCCCTTCAATAACTACACTAGCTAATGGTGAGCGGTCATTATCATTGATTATCTTTTATGAACTGTCTTATTGCAGGTTCACTTGATTTGATTTATGTCCTTGTCAGTTCAGTAGTAACAATGCTGCTATGCGTTTGCGGTCTTTTTGTGATCCTCCTCCTACTACTAATAGCTAAGAAAAAACAAAAATCAAGGTAAGTAAAAAGAAATAAAAGGAAGAACCATCTAATGGCATGTACTCCATTTAAATAGATCAAAGCTAACTACAGATCTCATTCTAATGGATGGACCAAGAATTGTAAGTTTTAAACAGTAACTATATAACGCAATCAACCTTTAAAATTGATTGCAAGCGATCATACATTGCAACGTAAGGTGAAGCCTATAAAGATATAGAAGAATTCTAGTAAATAAAAACAAAAGCCAAGCTTGTATCCAAAACAAGCAATAGTTCACTAATGATGGAATCCACTTGCTGTATTATTATTATTATCTCATGGCCAGACACCCAGACCTGCCAACTGGAAGAGAGGGTTGGCACACATATTGGTATTTTGACCTCAGCTTACTTTGAACTTTTAGACCACGCACCACACAGCACACCTCCTTTGCACAAAAACATGTAACCATCTTTGCCACCCTCTCCTCCTCTTCCTCTATTTTTGGTAGGAGCTTTTCTTTGAAGACTTGAAAGGTTTCTCCCTCCAGTCGGGATCTATGGAAACTGTGTACACCCCATTGGAGGGCGGCTACTACAGCACGAGAGGTCACATTGACACTAGGGACAAGGAGAGTGTCGTCACAGCAGCCTCGAATGAGAACCTACACAAAAATGAAAATGAAGAGATTGAAAGTACAGAAGAAGATGGTAACGAACTGGGTGGAACCAGGGATGAAAATACCGTCGTTAGCAGTGAGGATAGTAATGAGTCATCTTTTGTGTCATCTGGTTCCAGTGGGTTTGGTAATGATGATCCTGGACACTTGCAATTTCATGGATTGACACAGTTAACTAACGGATATGTGGAATCCAATGGATCCGTGGTAGAATCCAGTGGACAGTCACACGAATATGTACAGCTAAACAATGGTCACATGGTAGAGACAACTAACAGACCCACAGAGGCATCTAATGGATACATACAAACAAATAATGGATCCGTAGAATCACACGAATACATCAAAGAAGAATCCAGTGAAGAATCATATGGATATGTACAGGTAAATACTGGAGACATGGATATGAATGGAGACCCGGAAACAAATGGATCCATTCTGTCTAATGGATACATACAGACGAATGAAGACATTGAAATGATGAAATTTAATGGATACATGCAGTCAAAGTCTTTCATAACGAGTGACATTAAATTTGAAAACGATTACATTCCAAACAATGTTATGTAATGAGACACACCCCTAACCACACCCCCTCATTAATTCACATGTTTCACAGGTAATTTGAATAAATCTTTTTATAAAAAAATAACAGCAATAGTTGTTAATTATAGTTAATTAACTAGCAATGCACCAGCATTAGCATTTTTAGCAGCAGAAGCAGTTATTAACTAGTTATTAACTCAATTTTTATTCCTTGTTGATGCTCTTGTATTTGCCATCATTTTCCTGCAAAGAAAAACAAAAAATAAAATAATTCTAAAAAAATTATCATTACTAATTAATTAATGAAGTCTACGTATTATTTAGTTACATCATAGGCTTACATTTATGGTTAGTATATTCTTAAAGTAAGTGAGTTTTGGTACCTTGGGATGATGAGCATCAATGAAAAACCAATAAACAAAAGCTGCAATGAGCCCTCCAAACATTGGGGCAACAAGAGGGACCCACCACCAGTGTCTTATGTTACCACAAAAATCACATCTAGAGAGAGAGAGAGAGAGAGAGGGAGAGGGAGAAAAAAAGATGAAGGAAGAGAGAGGAAGAATGAGATGTTATAGGCACTTTACTTTCGGTCTTTTACTTACAAGAACACTTCCTTGCCCCAGCCAGCCATAGCAGTGTACAGTCTTGGTCCAAAGTCCCTTGCTGGGTTAATGGCGTATCCAGCGTTCATGCCGAATGAAGAACCAATAGCCCACAGTAATAGTCCAATGATGAATGGTTTCAGGCCAGATAGAACCTCAGAGTTCTTGGAGTCAGTCACAGCAAAAATACCAATGACAAGAATAAAAGTCCCAAACAGCTAACATTAAAAATGATTAATTGCTTTTTTCTGTATTTCATTATTTACTTGATCAAAGAACCCGGTACCAATATAGAGATAAGGGGCGGGATAAGTTGCAAATATACCAGCTGTAGCATTAGTCTTACCACCAGCAGCATTAATGGCATCTGATTAAAAAAAGTTCATAAAAATGGACGCTTTATGATGCATATACATACATGTACTTATGTTGTGTAGAAAGTTTGAACTAATTCCAATCAAATTTGAATTTTTTATGAATTTTTAAAGTTTCTCTAAAATCAGACAAAAGTCCCTGTACTATAGTACAGGGATTTTGGCCAAATTTCATCAAAATTGACAAGTAGAGAATTCCTCAATTTTATTATATTTTCTGATGCATATACATGTACTTATGTTGTGTAGAAAGTTTAAACTAATTCCAATCAAATTTGAATTTTTTTACGAATTTTTTAAGTTTCTCCAAAATCAGACAAAAGTCCCTGTACTATAGTACAGGGATTTTGGCCAAATTTCATCAAAATTGACAAGTTGAGAATTCTTCCATTTTCTGATGCATATACATGTACCTATGTTACCTAGAAAGTTTGAACTAATTCCAATCAAATTTTAATTTTTTACGAATTTTTAAAGTTTCTCCAAAATTGGACAAAAGTCCCTGTACTATAGTACAGGGATTTTGGCCAAATTTCATCAAAATTGACAAGTAGAGAATTCCTCAATTTTATTACATTTTCTGATGCATATACATGTACCTATGTTACATAGAAAGTTTGAACTAATTCCAATCAAGATTGCATAAAGTTGTTCAAAAATTCAGCAAAAGTACTATAATAGTACATGGTCCTTGGCAAAATTTCATTAAATTGAAAATGAAAATTGGGCCAAAGACTGTGTACTATAGACTATATAGTACAAGGGACAAAGGCATTGTAACTTATAGTACAAATTTTGGCAAAAATGACAAAAAGAAAATTGTCTACTTTTATTACAATTTCTGAAACTATTTGTAAACATACAAATTCTCTTCACTTTCACTTACCATTGTATATCCCATGAATAAAAGGAGCTGACATAAAAGCACCCAAAAACTGAGACACCCAATACGGGATCACCTAACAACAAAACAACAACAACAACAATAAACAACAGCAACAAGAGTGACATCATACCAATAGCCATTTCATTTTCCCACGGAACGCCATTGCTAGAGTAACAGCTGGATTTAGGTGCCCCCCTGACACACCAGCAGACATATATATACCTATCATCAGTGCTAGCCCATAGCCTATGTTAATGGATCGGAATGTACCAAACTGGTCTGGCGGTTCGCTCAATAAAGTTTGAGCAATAGCACCATTACCAATTACCTAAACAAAGATAATAATAATAATAATAATAATAATAAACAATTATTTGCAAGCAAAAAGGGGTGGGGCTGGTTACTAATTATTATAATTGCTGCAAACAAAGCGGGGCTTTATTTCCTATGCATTGCTCTATTCTAGGCTCACCACTAGGAGAAATGTTCCTAAAAATTCGGCAAGACATTCCTTGAGGTATGCTTTCTTTACGGCGAATTTCCAGGGCTTTGTGACGATATATATGAACCTGTCCAGCTGGGAGGCTATCCCTTGTGAGTCACTGTAGCTAATGGAGGAGGTGGCAGAGTCCAAGAGAGACGTTTTCTCTTCAGCCATTACCTGAAACAAAGTCAATGAAAAACTGCAAATGGGAAAAAGCTTGGACTTGGAGGCTTGGAGCAGCAGAGGTAAGGTCAAGGAGATAACTGACTAATCAGAATAGTTATCTCACGTGGATAATTTTGACCAATCAGATTCCCCAAGTCACATGTTAGTCGAAATGGCTAACAAGGCGTGGCTGAAATTAATCATAGCAGCTGCAAAGTGCAAATTGGCGAAATTGCATTTATCTTTGCTCCTTAGGCCTTGCTAGCTGTTCTCAGTCTGGTTTTTAGTACATTTTAAATATGGTTGCTCCTGTAGGTTCATCTATAGGAAGGAGAAGTACAGCCGTGTCTCTTAACAGGAGAAAAAGAAGAACATTCTCCAACATTACAGCACAGTGGTTCACAGTTCCTCAATTCATCACAAAGCTACTGGAGCTGGTAAATGCAACTCTCTTTTACATTTTTGTGTATGCAACTACAGACTCTGTCTTCTATATCTATCATTCTTATCTTCACTTGGGAGAGTGAGGGAATCAGGGTGACCACTATCAGACAAGATGACTACAATTATAGAAATTATTTCTTCTACTATATTTGTGTTCTCTCAACTTCAGTCCTTTACTCGGTCATTTTGATGATATTAGGCTGGACAGGTGTCCGTCTGCCATCAAAAGCAGTGAGTTATTAAGTGAAGTTAGTAATAAGCTACATTGAGTGGTAATGTTCGTATGAATATCAGCTTGAATAGGCTACTAGCTGCTAACATTTCTAATTGAATTTATTTTAGGAGACAGACATTGCCATATGCATTTTTGTGTATGTAATTTGGAGTCAATTAGTAATATAATAATACTAAACAAAATGATTTATTGCCGAGGAATTGATGTTGGTGATTGGCAGTTGTGTAAAGAAATCACCAATATAAAAATTTACTTCAATCTGAGTATGCTTGATAATATGTGGCACAAAATTCTCAGTTACTTTTCCAATTACTTTGAATATAAAATTTGCCAAATATTACTCTTGCCAATAAATCACTTTTTATGGTAATAAGAACTTCTTTTACATTGTATATCTCTTTTTAGGTTACATTATTGGCAGGTGGTGGTGTCTTGCTATGGCTATTTGCAAACCCATTGATGAGTGGCACCATTAAGATATTAGATAATTCTGTCTATGCAAGACAAAATAATCTGAACACTCTCCAATTGAAGGCAACATCAGTGAGGAAGAAATAAAGAAAGTAAAAGGAGGCTTATTTCTTTTCTCTAGGTTTTAGGCTTTTTCCTTCTTGCCACTTTTATTTTTGACATATTGCTTGGATTCATTGGTCTTAACACTTCAGAGAAACTCAACAATAAATCCGGTCAGATTGAACTTAAAAACTCTCAATCTGTCATAGCAACAGCCAGACTTACTGCACAGCAATCAAACAAGATGGTAAGTAAAATAATTATAGCTAAATTATAACATTGTCATCCTCTCTTTTAGTTACATTGAACTTATTACAAGACAATAACGATAATAATAATAATAATAATAATAATAACAATACTATATCGATAGTAGTATGAGAAAGTTGGTACTTTAAAAGATTATGAGCAGATAAATAATAATAAATTCATTATGTTTATTGAATATTTCTGTAGCCATTAAAAACTATATATATAAATCAGTGGTGCATTACTTATTAGTTCAGGCAACATGAGCCTAGATATAGTTTCTGGACACCGACCTTCATGATGGCAAAAACAAGAGCAATAATCTCAAGTATAACATCACCAGTATAGGCTACTGCTCCCAAAACAGCAAAGAACTAAATAAAGAGTCCAAATAATAATAATGATAAGAATAGAAATGCAACATATTCAGGCTTACACAAGCAGCTTCTAGTGCTGAAAGGTTTAAATCTAAAAATCTGTTCTCTTTGGAGACTGCTAAGTCACGTATACTAGCTGCAAAAACTGCAGCAGAAATTATAACAAAGAATGCCATTATAATAGTAATGATAAGCACCTATAGAATCGATAAAAGACAATAAAGCTAAACACTATTGTCATATGTGTGTCCTTTATCTTACCACAATGGCAGGAAGATCTTGCTTAAAGCAGAACACAACTAGTGAGACTATGGCCCATATAATTCCAAATACTCCAATCACAATTAAAAACTCAAAGGCTGTTAATTGATTGAGCCCATCAGTATTTAAATCAGTAAACTTTACACCTTTACTAGACCAAGCACCAGCTAATACAATTGCTAGGAACAGAGTGACCTGAAGGAGTATGAGTAAAATCATAGAATCTTTGGTAAAATAAAGCTGGTGCACTTTAGACTTACAATTTGTACAACTTTCATTATTATTTGTCCCCACGGCTTCTCTTCAGAAGTAGTTCTGATCATTTTGCGAGAGAATAGCGAGCAAAGAGAGACAAAGAGTGGAACAGAAAGAAAAGGGAGTTGTTTGACAACTTTGATTAGCAAAAGGGTGGGGCTGATAAAGCCTATAGATCAAATGGGCGTGGATCGTTAATAATCGGGTGTGGTTTTGCTGCAGATATGGAGGAGTGGCTGACAGGACACGTTGCATTTGCAAATGATGTTTCCTTTAGCTGTGTACATCATAATCCTCTCGTTTAATTCCTTCTCCACTTATGCTATCCATTTAGATGAAGAAAGAGGAGCAGCTGATTGTGGAAGACCAGGTTTTACTCCATATCCTTCTAGTAATGACTGCAAATGCATAGATAATGCTTATGCAGGTCTCCTCTTATGTCCATTCAACAATGGGACCTTTGAAGCTTCTGTGTTACGTGGAACATGGTTAGGTAACTATACTGTCAATGGTAATAATGAAATACTTGGAGGCACATCTCTATTTTTGCTTTATACTTCTAATCATTCTATTCCACTACCTTCTACTTGGGAAGAGATGCGAGGTGGGGATTATTTTTGTGAACCGTTCCACAGAGAAGGCGTGCTGTGTGGTTCATGTCAGTCTGGCTATTCACAAGCTATCAATTATTATGATTGCATACAGTGTTCATCTGATGAAGCTGTTGCAAATTGGTTTCTTTATTTATCGCTTGAATTCTTGCCAATGACTCTGTTCTTTGGGGTTTTGCTATTTTTTGATGTAAGGACTACATCAGGTCCAGGGACAGCTTTTATATTTTATGCTCAAATGGTTAACACATGCTTTGATATTGGATTGGATAATATTCTAATAAGACTCAGACCTGCACTGAAAAATCTCATTCTTACCTACAAAATTCCATATGGTATCTGGAATCTTAATTTCTTCTCTCTTCTAGCAAAACCATTTTGCTTGCTACACGGAATGGACCTCTATGGTGTTCTTTTAATGAGATACATATCAGCATTTTATCCTTTGCTCCTAATTTTGATTGTAACAATTTTGGTTAAGCTATATGACCGTGGCTACAAGCCAATAGTGTACATCTGTCGTCCTTTCCATCGCTGTCTCGCATTTGCACAGAGGATTGGAAACTGCAGGACATCTGCCATCAATGCATTTGCTATTTTCATTGTTCTTTGCTATACTAAAGTTGTTTTCATTGGATTTGATATCCTTGCCACTAACTACCTATATAACAGCAAAGGTGAGATTGTGGTAAATAATTTGCCTTATTTTGACTCAACCGTCTCATTTTCAAGCCCAATAATGATATCATTGTGCATAGCTACAGCTCTGGTACTATTGATATTTGGTTTTGTATTTCCTATCATCTTGGTTGTTCCATCCTTTCTCCAGTTAGGTTACCGTTTGACAAAATGGGAATGTTTTGCAAACTTTATGCCATGGGGTCGTATGCAGGAGTTCCTCCAGCAGTTTCATGGCTGCTATAGAGATGGAACTAGTGAAGGAGAAAGGGAGTACAATGTTTTTAGTGATCGACGTTTTTTCTCTTCACTATATTTACTGATACGACTCATCATGTTCTTAACCTATGCTTATACACCCAATGATGCCTATCAGTATTCAATTCAGACAGTTCTTTGCTTTGTCATGATTTTCCTACTTGCTATCTTCAGGCCTTTTAAGAAAAATCGTGACAACATCCTAAACATTAGTATGTTTTGCTTGCTAGGGACAATATCTTCATTAATGGCATTCAATGAATATGAAATGTATGTCATGTACGAAGACATATCCATCTACTTGCTCCTTTGCCAATATGTACTGATGATCTGTCCTTTAGTAATGGTGACAATTTACTTCACTACCAAGTTACTAAAGAGGTTTTCAAAAAATGTTAAACAGTGCAGGAAGAAAAGAAGGCAATCAAATGATCCTTTGAGGTCTTTATATGGTCATGGCCAGAATAATCCACAGTCTTCAATCAATACTGAAGCAAGTGAGGAGGAGTTGGATAAAGATTTGCCTGATTTTTTAGACTTTACGGAAGAGACTGGTCGCCTGAGGGAGAGGGATAGCTTGTGGCAGGTGATCCAAGAAGATGAGGAGGAAGTTAAAGGAAGTGATGGGAGGAAGCTACTGTCCATAACTGAGGCTACGAGTTACGGTACTATAATAACCGACTAATTTGATATTATTTTTAATTTTATATAAAAAAGAAAAGGCTCTCTGTAATTGTGTTTATTGCAAATTTTTATCTATTTCTTGTGAAAATGTAAGTTTTGCCAGCAACTGCGTGGGCGTTACTAGATTAAAGTGAGTGGAGCCATAGATATTAAAGGCCTTTTCACACTGGCACAGTTTTCAAAGCGCTTTGATGTGCTTTGTTGATACAGCTGAAATAATGTGCATTGATCGTGTTTACACTAGCAGCTGAATTATGTATCATTTTGTGTTCTTGTTGCCATTGGTTTACATTGATCGAAGCGCATCACTTCACATCAATCCACCTCTGGAGGTGAAGTGAGAGTGATGCGCATCAATGCGCATTAATTGAAAACCACTTTAGTGTGAACACGATTAATGTGCATCAATGCGCATTACTTGTGCCAGTGTGAAAAGGCCTTAAATGACAGGGATTGGAAACGGAAGCGTGGGCGTAGCCCAACCTCCAT